GCTGAGATACCTGCTCAGGTGGGCTGGGATATCTGCTCAGGTGAGCTGAGATACCTGTCCAGGTGGGCTGGGGAACCTGTCCAGGTGGGCTGGGGTATCTGCTCAGGTGAGCTGAGATATGTGCTCAGGTGGGCTGGGGAACCTGTACAGGTGGGCTGGGGTATCTGCTCAGGTGAGCTATGTGCTCAGGTGGGCTGGGATATGTGCTCAGGTGAGCTGAGATACCTGCTCAGGTGAGCTGAGATACCTGCTCAGGTGGGCTGGGATATCTGCTCAGGTGGGCTGGGATATCTGCTCAGGTGGGCTGGGATATCTGCTCAGGTGAGCTGAGATATGTGCTCAGGTGGGCTGGGATATCTGCTCAGGTGGGCTGAGATACCTGCTCAGGTGAGCTGGGATATCTGCTCAGGTGGGCTGGGATATCTGCTCAGGTGAGCTGAGATACCTGCTCAGGTGAGCCGGGATATCTGCTCAGGTGAGCCAAGCCACCTGCTCAGGTGAGCCTGGACACTTGCTCAGGTGAGCCAGGAGGTGCTCCCACCAGCGTCACCACCCCAGAGCCGTCCCTGCGCTCGCGTCCTCGCTCGGGCGTCCCCTACCTGCGCTCAGGTGCGTCCCCTACCTGCGCTCACCTGCGTCCCCTCTGCTCCCTCAGAGCATCGTCGGCGCGGGCCGGGCGGCTGGAGGCGGCGGTGGCCACGTACCGGGGCCGGGCGGCGGCGGCGGGGGAGCTGCGGCGCTGGGTGCGGGCGCTGGAGGAGCGGCACGCCGCCCAGGTGCGCCGCGCCGCTCACCTGCAGCAGCAGCTGGGCCGAGCCCAGGCCGGCTGCGCGCAGCTGGAGGCCGCCCGCAGGCAGGTGGAGGAGCTGAGCGGGCAGCGGGCCGAGGCGGCGCTGAGGGCCGAGAAGTGGCACCTGGAGTTCCGGCACCTGCAGGAGCGATTCGAGGCGCTGAGCCAGGAGAAGGAGGTGGGTGAGGTCGGGGGAGGCGCCGCGAGCGCACCTGGGGGACGCGCCTGGGGACGCACCTGAGCGCTCGGCGCCGTCCCCGCAGCGGCTGCTGGAGGAGCGCGACGCGCTGCGCGAGGCCAACGAGGAGCTGCGCTGCGTGCAGGTGCAGCAGAGCTACCTGAGCCAGGCAGGTGAGCCCTCCCTGAGAGCTGACAGAACACCTGGGCAGGTGGGAACCGTCTCCTGATCCTCGTAGCGGACACCTGAGAACCCCCGCTGTGGGCCGCGGGGTTTGGGCTGTCACAACAGGTGACAATTTTGGGACGTAATCCAATTTTTACCGCAGGGCTGGAGGGGGGCCCGGCCCCTCCCCAGAATTTGGCGGCCGAAATCCTTCCCGCGGAGCTCAGGTGAGTCCAGGCAGGTGTCCAAAAACATGGGGCGGGGGGGGGGGGGCCCCATTTTTTTGGGGGGCGCGCGCGGGGGCGAAAAGGGGGGGGGGGGGGGGGGGGGTCCCCAATTTTTTGTGGGGTCGCTAACGGCGTCCCCGGCAGGGACACGGTGACGCGGCTGCGGCGGGAGAACCGACGGCTGCGGCTGCAGCGGGACCAGCTCTGGCACAGGTGGGGGAATTTTGAGGAGGGGGGGGTTAGGGGGTCTTCAAAACCTCCCTAAGACCCCCCAAAATCCCTAACGAGCCCCCCAATCCTTAATTCCCCCCCTGCACCCACAGACTGGAGGCCGGAGAGCCTCGGACAGCGCAGGGGAGGCCGCGGGAGGAGGTGAGTGGGGGGAGATTTTGGGGGGGGGGGTCTCTCCAAACCAAAGGGGGGGCCCCCGGTTCGGGGCGGGGGTCCCGGGGTTTTGGGGGGGGGGCCACGTTTTATTTGGGGCACCTCAGGCTTCACCTCTTTGTCGTTTCCCCCCTCCCCAGCTGTCGCTGCCGGAGGAGACCCCCGAGGATCTGTGAGTTTTGGGGGGTCGGGGAGGGGGGGGGTGGGATTTGGGGAGCCCCCCCACAACAACATCCCCAACCTGTGGCCACCCCCCTGCTCCCCCAGGGATGAGCTGCCGGAGGGAGAGGAGGAAGAGGAGGAAGAGGAAGAGCTGGAGCCCTCCAGGGTCCCGAGTGGGTATCAGAATTTGGGGAGAGGGGAAAATTGAGGGGGGGTCTGGGGGATACCCCAGATTGGGGGGTTGTACAGAGATCCTGAGGGGTGATGTTTGGAGGGAGGGGGCAGGAGATGACCCGTGCCTCAGTTTCCCCATGAAGATTGGGGGTTTTGGGGGGGTCCTTCCTGGCTAACCTCCCTTTTTGTTCCCCCTGCAGGATCAGGATTTAGAGGTTCCCCGAGTTTGCCCCCACAAAAGCCCTCAGTTTCCCCTGGGGACCCCCCTGGCACTCCCCCCTTGGCCCCCGTCCTGCAGCTCCTCCGGAACCAACTGCAGGAGAAGGACGCGCTGATCCGGCACCTGGAGGTGAGCCTTAAACCCACAAAGGGAATTTGGGGAGGGGGTCCCGGTGGGGTTGGGGGTCTCCATCTCCAGCTGAACCCCCCCCCCCCCCCCCCCC